AAAGGAGCAAGTGAGGCTTGAAGTGTGCTGGAGAGCCAAAATACCCGGCCATGAGCAGAAATACCCGACCGGGTATTTTCTGGCCATGGTCGGGGATTTCTGTCTTTGGGCGTCCGTGAGAAACAGAAGGGGGCCCGGGCAAAAGGCAAAAATCCCCGGTCGGGGATTATTGGAAGAGACCGGAGATTTTCCCTGAGGCCGAAACGGTGCGCTTCAATTATACCCGGTCGAGACCCAAAATACCCGACCAGGTATTTCGACCGGGTATCGCCACCAGGCAGCAGATTTAAGGGAAAGGAAGGCAAAAATTCAAGGGTTCCGAGTTTTTGAGAGAGAAAGCGACGAACCAGAGTTCCCAAGTGCCATAGCTTGATCTTCATCACCATTGGAGCCCGGCTTGAGCTTGGAGAAGTGCCGATTAAACGTCCAGGAGCAGAAATCCGTCCTCACAGTATGATTTCCGCGTCTGAATCTGCTTTTGCTTCTTTCTCTATGGAGTAGTTCCCCCATTCATCTGGGTATGGGGAACCCTAGAATTGTATGCTAGGTCTGATTGTATGAACCCAAGTACAAAGTTTGTGAATTGATTATATTCGATTGAGGTTTGAATGATTGAATGACTTGAATCCTTATCAAATTCCTGTTGTTTCTGCTTTGACCTAGAATGAGAATATCTGCCTAGGTTGATAGAGTACCCTTAATTGAAGGTGGCGAATTGGTGACTTTAGTCGAGGAGCCAATTTGCTATTCTGTACCGAATTCAATTCGGTAGTGGAGGTTTGGCTCGTTAGGGCCTCAATCTGTTTACTCCGGTGGAGGTTAGTCGCCCGCTAGAGACTCAGATTGAGAGGGTCTAAAGACCTTTAGTCGAGACGTCAGGCTATTTAAGAACCTTCCGCAGTATAACTTTCATGAAAACTGAACTTGGTAAATTACAATCCGGCTTAACTGCAGTCTAGGGGGAACCATATCCGGGTGACCTCTCTTGACTTGAACAACCGTTTAACTTGCTTTGTGTTTTTTGTTTGTTTGAATCTGCACTAAAAGTTCATTGCTAGATAACGAGAATTCACCGAGTAGTCATCACATCTAGGACCCGGGTTGACAATAAAACCCAAACCCGCTATACTACGCTTTAGGAAGTGGTTACACTTGGCCATTTTCTAGAGTGACAGTAGGAGTGAGTCAATAACCTTGTGGTCAATAAGACAATAACTATGCATAACCCAATCAGAATCCGCCAAATCAGTGCTCCTTCTCTCTCCTGAAAAGCCTTTAAGTTTTTTCCATTAATCTTTAACGGAGGATTTCTCACTCGTTTGAAGTTGAAATTTAAATTTTTCTACACAGTTAGATCAGATTAATTATTCTCTTCAAAATGATATCCACTTCTATATATTTTTGAAACAAAAAAAAAATTGAGCCATTTTTTACCCGCCTATACTATATGGTATTGACTGGTATTGAAATAAGAGTATACCATATGGTATGAAAAGCGTAATGGTGTTATAAACATACCAAGACTGTAGGATGGTTGAATACATGATAGTAGGAGTATACTAATTGTCATTTATGACTTTCAACATTGTGTACCGCAAGATACCACCACGTACCATGGTGGTATTGTGTGGTATTTTTTGGTACTGTATTTTGTTCATATAGAAATTTGTAGATCCAATATATCATGATGAACTCGTTCCATATGTGCAAAAATTTTCAAAAATTACTTAAAAACGAAGAAGATACTTTATGGTATGCAATTGGTACCAAGAGGCATGAAATTTTTTTTCTCAAAAAATATTAAAAATGGACCACAGTTTGTAGAGCACAACAAACATGTTCCATCTGTGCAAAAAAAATTGAAATCCGAATTAAAACAAAGAAGATATGAGCCGATTAAGAAAGTTAGGAAAAATAAAAATGACTTTAATTCTCCACCCTTAGATCTAGATTTTCTGAATGAAGGATCTAGGTTTAGTTACTAAGGGCTCGTTTGCGTCGTGGATTTGAAAAATGAAGGTTTTGGTATAACTTGGGTTTTGAAAAACCATGGATAAATGAGGGTTTTAGGTTCATTATGGATTTGATAAACACCATTGTTTGTTTGATGGATTTCATGATGGATTTTGTTTATTAAATTTGTATGTATGAAGTGTAATTTACCTTTATTGCCCTTAATGATATAAGAAGAGAAAGCAAATATGAAGGGTATGTTGGTAAAAAATGATGGACTTCAAAGTCCATGATCAATTCCCACCTAAATAGGTGGAACTTTCAAGTCCGTGGGGTCCACGGATTTGGTCTCTTAAAGTTTGTGGGACCCACGGATTTGTTTCCCCTAAATGCATGAAGCAAACAATGGATTTTTGACAAAGTCCATAATGGATCCAAATCCATCACCAAATCCACCAAGCAAACAAGCCCTAATATCTGGAGCCTTCTGGTTATACTGTGAAAGCTCTCTTCTATTACTTATGATATAATTATGTATTTTTGGTATAGGCTACTTTGCTTATATTGTTTTGCAGGATTTCTTTCTTTCAGTTTCATATTTGGACGCAATCACCATCGTCACTCTCATATGAGGTATTTGCACGTAAGTGTTCTTCTCTTTCTCTCTATTTGAATAAGTTTCGTGTCTTTTTCCTTATCGGAGCTTTCATAGAGTTGCTCGCTTAGTGGCAAAATATGCTCTTTCATCGGGAGTCCGGTTGCATACGGATTACCTTTCTTTATTATTGTTATCTTATAATTTTGTTGTGCGACCTTGCCCTGGAGGCTTATCTTAAATAAATAAAAAAAGGTAATGTCTATTTTTTATCCAAACCTTTTTCAGATTATTTTATATTATCAAAACCTATTAAAATGCTATTAATTAGTCAAATCTTTTGTAATGCATCAAAATATTAGCCATTTTTACGTTATCGTTAATAGTTTTTTTAACTCTTTTCCTAGTTAAAATACTAAAATTTTGGAATGTTGACCTTCATATGTCTCTTCCAAGTCAGTATCATGTTGTCAAGTCAATAATACGAACAAAATTTCTAATTGGAAGTTAGCATTTGACTAATTCTTAGTATTTCGATAGGTTTGACTAATAAAAAAGAATTCGAATAAGGTTTGACTAATAAATAGTCATTACCAAAATTATTTTCGTATTCAACAATACTGATTGAGATACTGAAATACTTTTGAATTGAAATTGAGATACCAAATTATTTTAGAATTTGACATTAAAATTGACTTTAGATTGTATTTCAATTATTCAAGATATTCGATATTGCCATACCGATTTCCACCTCCCATTCAAATCACATGGTGGGCTGCTATAGCTGGTGTTAGAGAGTATACAAACCCGTCACTATTTTGCAAGGTTGTCAACCCACGGGTCGACCCGCGGGTTGACCCACTTTGACCCTGATCCGGTGAGAAAAATGGGTCGCACGCACCCGCCGGGTCGACCGCTACAAGGTACCGAGTTGGAGGTCAAATTGTGTCAGTTTTTTCTTTGTTTTGCGAAATGCGCCTATCTTCCGATTTTTCTTTTCGCCTAACTCAATCTTTGGAATCCTAAGTTGAGCATTTGAATATTAATGTTATATAAGTGTGTGTAAATTTTCACTATATGTTGAATCTAAGTACAAAATGCTATTTTGGTGTAATATTATATGTTATAACTCATATGTTAGATGAGATTTGATATAATTTATCAGGATAAGTACAATATAATGACGCTTTCCATATTTCCGGGTAAAACGGGTGACCCATTAACCCTTGACCCACTAGCTCAACCGGGTTCGGGTTAACCCGCAGGTTGACAACCTTGCTATTTTGTGATCCAACTCCGTCAATGGGATGCCAAAATTACTAATAAATAGAAATTTCAACCCTCGGTGGTATGTAATTATATTTACAGACAAATTATTTGTGAGGTGGAAGCATAGTTAGTAAATACTCCGTTTAATACACGTATATGTACCCGTACGTATTTTATCCGTTTAAAACTTCCGTATCCGTATTTTTGTCAAGCCGTTTCATTTTTGTCCGTTCATTTGGTGGCTCCCGTACTAAACACGTATAAAATACGTATAACACGTTTTATATCCGTATTTAACGAATTAAATTGTTAACTTTACTATTATTTATATATTTATTTATTTTAAAAAATAATTTATTTTATATATTTATGACTATTAACGTACTATTAAACGTAACATTAGCTTAGAGATGAAGTAAAATACCCATACGTATTATATCCGTAACTTTCCCGTACCGTATTTTACTAACTATGGGTGGAAGTGCCAGAATTCCATGTAAAAGAATTAAAGAATGGATATCATGAAGCATTAAATTTGTTTACACCATGTTTGGCCGAAGTATAGAGAGGAGCACTTTGTATCTGGGAAGTGAAGGGAGTTGACATGATTTCACCTGCATTTTCAAAAAAGGAATGGATTCATGGACAACGAAAAATCCCTTTAAACTTTTCTCCAAATCATTTGCAGGAGTATTCCAAAAATCACAAATTCACTAGCGGAAGGAATCACATATGTTGCGAACCAAAATAACCATGAATACTATGTATCAGAATACATATACGAGGAATTGCCAAGGGAATGGGAACCTGGTCGTTGAATACATCAATGATGATGAGGTTAGACGATTTTAGCTGAAACACCAAGCAGTTTCATGTTCTTGTGTCTCATGCAGTTAACAACACAAAAGGAAGTTATATTTCTCCATTTGAATACTTGGTATACATCTAGATATAGCAACCACAGACACCATAACACCCTTTAAGATTTACTTGATCTTAAACCAGCTTACAGGAAGGAATAAACTTAGCCATTGATGGACATGGACAGAATCAATGGTACCAGAGATAACACCACAGCAGATAGAACACCCTGCATTCAGAGAACTTCGAGTCGGACGAAAATGTCAAACCATAAAGCAAACCATCACAAGAACAAGCTTCTTAATCACTCAAGAGTTTAAAGCGTCAGTGATAATAAGGGTTGGTTGGAACTTGTGATCTCAGATGTCCAAATGCATTATCCCAAACGTACTATCAGAGCACATGATCAACTCTGGGGACATTACCACTATTTGTTTTTCAAGCAAAACTCCTGTAAACAGAGCTAAGATCTGAAAATAAACCCATCATCAACATCAGGTTCATGAGACCAAGGAAGCAGAGAGAGGGAGCAGCATAGATTCAAAGATAAAGGAGGAGAAATTTCAAAAATACAATAACATATTACAATTCCTGCACTCTCAGAAAGAACATTTAAAATAGGAGTGTAGTTGTCAATGAAGCAGGACTTCTCACTGATACTTTTAACAAAGGGGTTTGAAAGTAAGTTTTAGCCATTTTCCTGAAGTGGACTGCCAAGTAGAGTACAGGCCTCATCTTGCAGTACTTTCCACGCTGCATCTACATGTCTCCTCTTCGTCAATGGTGCTCCAACCACGAACCGCAATATGTACATCCCTGATAAGACCTGCAAATGCAGTAACGTCATCATATGATTCAATTAACGATGATATAAGCGGGTTTCTTGCGGCTCAAGTGATATAATAAACTACTACAGAAGAGAGGTGTTGTCGTTCTTACAGTGTGGGATATGAAAACTCTCCCGGTTGAATTGACAGCTTCCAGAAGCTCCTGGTTCAGTTTGTTGCTGCCACGTGCTTCATTGTCGTCAACAGGAGGTAGGAGGCGAAAACAGACCAGCGCAAATTTAGGTGGGGCAACAATCTGCATGGTTCACACAGATATGTACGGAAAATGATCAAAATGATTTAAGGTATCCGCTACTGCCCAAATGAAGGAAGGGAGGAATGGCCTTTACCTCAAATCTTGGGTCTTGGCCAACACACTCTTCAAAGTATCTTGCCAGCTTGATATGATTTCTCAGGTAGTTCTGCAGATTTTCCACACCATATAATCGTAGTACCATCCATAGTTTCAATGACCTAGTGAAAAGCGTGTTCATGTTTCAATGACCAATCATTCATCATAAAGAATCATATATTTCTTGGAGCTAGCTCTAAGGTATGTAACACAAACCTGAACCGACGTCCAAGAGGGATTTGCCAGTCTTTGTAATCCACCACCAAGTTTGCTTGTGAGGCCTACAATGTTAAATGCTTGTAACTATTACCAACTGTCCTATAGATATGAAGAATTGTTTAGTTTATAAGCAGCATTATCCAACTTCACACCACCGCAATGAGAAATGGCTAAACCGCAGTTTGATAAGCGTTGATAATGTTCAAATTGATCTCTCGATTATGTACCACCAACGTCTAACTAGGATACATTATTATTGGTAGATGCAAAAACTGGTATCTAGAAGGTAAATAAACACAAAATGTACCTTGTGTTTCAAAAATTCTGAATTTGTGGAGAGGGACTGGATGAGAGCATTCCTGTCCTGGTATCATCATACATTAACAAAGCAATAAGTTAGTAATTATTGTCCAATGTAAATTGAAAGGTTAACCATGCAACTAGAGGCAAGCCTATACAAGAAAAGTTAACAGTAGATGGAAGTAGTCCAGTGAAAAGTATCAGTTTCAGACTTGATTCTACCTACTGTTAACTCTAGGAGAGTGCAGGGCAGCAGGAAAATTTTGGGATTATATTAGAAGTTCCTGATTAACTGGATGTTCTGATATATTATTATATAAGGAATTCTTGTTACCTTTTCTGAAAGGGGCCCTGATGCCAACTTAATCAGCACAACGATCCATATCAAAATGTGATAAAAGATGTTGATGAAATACCTTTACCCACAGGGTAGAACAGTCAAAGTTGGTTAAGAACCATTTGTGCGCATTCATGTTGAAAGAGTCTGCTTCTTCAACACCATCTAGGTACTTGCGGTATTCCGGACATATGCAGGCACTTCCAGCGTATGCAGCATCCACATGAAACCAAATGCCATTACTCTGTACATAGGATAATAATAAGGTGAATCATAAGTATATACCATGCAGTAATTGGTAATATTGAGAATGACATTTGATGTAGAACAAGGATGAGAAAGTCCGGTTTGTTCCTCGAATAATAAGAGAAGGAGATCATGAGGACAAATTATCTGGGGAAAATTCAAAACTTTACATGCTTATTTCTGCATTTTTTCCCACCTGTTTCTAATCAGTCTTACTGGATGATTACAGGTCAGATTACTCAGAATCACTATATTTTCCAGAATTGGTAAAAACAAATGTGATTGATGAAATAAAAAAAAGTGATAACTAACCTTGGCAATCTTGGCCAGAGAATACAAGGGATCAACAGTTCCAGACGAAGTAGTGCCGACCTGCAGATATATGCTAAAGGTTATCTGGTAGAAACTATGGTACATACTACTGATAAACAACTAGACCTATTCGTGCACTGGAAGACTAGTGTAAATACCATTCAACTAACTAAATAGGTGTAGCATCTCAATTTCAGACATACAAAATAACAAACGATTCGCAACTCTAAATGTTATCTTGTAATGCAGAACAGACCCTCTTCATAGTTGCTTCCAGTCTACTTAACTTCTGTTATAAAAGAAAAGATATATGAACTGTTTACTGCTACATTATATATGGTGGTTTGCAGGTTCCATAATGCAGGGCAGAAGTAATCCTGTTCTTGTGTGCTTCCAGTTTACTTCCACCAAACACGACAACACTGCACGACAAGTTCATGGCCAAACAACGAGGAATGTTAAAATGATTTAGTAGCCTTGGTAGTGTCCAAATAAATCGAGAATATACTCAACCTACTAAACATAGAACCTACAACTTCCGATTTCTTTCCTTCAAATATGGAAACACAACAGAATTCCAACCAGCTAGTTTGGTGAGGCAGATTAAGAACAATAATAAATGTGATGAAGGAATTATCAACTAACAGCAGAAGGCAGGTTTTGTCTCTTACAGTTCCACATAGAAAGAAGGGGATCAATCCAATAGAAATGTCATGTGAAATTGCTTCACTAACTATTTCCGGAGGAAGAGCATAATTTGTTGACGAGTCTGTTTTCAGCAGCCGGCAATTTTCAGGATGAATTCCAGCTATCTGCCATAAGCCGAGAGTACAAGAAATAGGCAAAATCAACAGAAATATCCACAATTGTGTCATGTAACTAGTAGTCATCTACAAATCAGTATATGCATATACAAAGCAGAAAACAGTTTAACGAGGACTTGAAAACTGGTCCAATAGATCACAATGAATCAATGATATATGCTGCAAGCTTCGGAGTGCATTAGATCACACAGAGAGTACAAGCTAAGCTAAGAATATTTCACTTAACAAGGATGGACGTCTAAGATATCAGACACCAGAAGCCAACAGAATGATCTGGCGAATTTTGTAGCACTAACCAGACTTTTTCATAGTAATGATAAAGCTAGAACCAGGAAAGGCAGACTGTAAGCAACAAATACCTGGCAGGCTTTCTGTAATGCAAAGTGTGTTTGATCAGATCCATAAACAACTAGCTTCCCAAGGGCACTTTTGCCAGCCTCCCTCAACGTCTTATCACGAGCAGCCAACAGTACAACCAGAATAGCTTCACTTGCAGTTCCTTGTATCACTCCACCACCAGGTCCTGTTATAATGAGTTAGCAATCTTCAGAAACTTGATTGGTCTCTATTCCCATCTTACTATCAAAATTGTGATAATTTTTCAACCTGTTTAGCTTCCTCTTAGAACATAAACTCATTTACTGCAACTGTTTCCCAAGTCCGTTTTCCCAACATGATGTTACTTTCGGTCGATGTACAACACCGAAATCGTTGAATGTTGCAAAAATCACACTCATATTCGAAAATATCAAGACTTGTTCTCCAAGTTCACTAACAGAAACTCTTGGTTGTCAGACAGACATCCAAAGCAATGAAACCGTAAGCCATATCAGAACTGGATCTGACTACCTCCAGCAACATCAAAGACCTTACTGCTATGAATTAACTAGCTTTGGCATGATCATTCACGAATTGAACAAGAATCCGCAAGTCTATATATAACAGCAACAGTTCAGTGGCGGATCCAGGGGGTGGCCACCCCGGGCCACGGCCCAGCCCTCCCCTGGATCCGGAACTAGTATAGCCCTTATAAATTTATCGATTTTAACCATTTTGGCCAGTGTTATTTTATAATAAAATTGTGTGTAATTAGGAAAGTGGATAAGATGAACATATTCAAATCACAACTCTAAATTTAGCCTGAAAATTCTAGCTCCAATGATTCTCATATAAAGAAAAGCAAACAAAGAAACCTAAAATTCTAAAACGTAAAAGACTAAAAGAAATATGAGGTTTATTCCCTTAAGAAATTACTAAAGCAGCTGTTGAAAATAGGAATTGATACACAATATATATTGATTAGTCGATTGTGTTGACATTTGCGCAACAAAATGAGCGATGAATTTCTTGCCAATTGGTTAACTATTTTATCTTAAAGAGAGTATGCTATTGATGTGGATGTAAACTCCATTATTGATGAATTCACTATATTAAAATTTAAAAGATCGACGTGTACAATTGATATTGTAAAAAATAACCCGTGATTTTTTTACGATATCTAATTTTCAAATGAAATGAAGGGCTGTTTGGATGTGGAGTTCCGTGGAGATGCTAAAGGGGTGATTGACAGGATAGCTGGGGTGTGCAGCAGGATTCTCGAGGTGGAGTAATTTTTTATGAGGTTCTGCAGTTGCGTCAGTAATTTCACTTGGTTCGTGTGTGTTTTGTTGGTAGGGAGCGTAATCGGGTGGCCCATGTGGTGGCCAAAAAACCCCGTCTTTGTTTCCTGCTAGTGTTTTGGGGTTTGATTTTCGCACTTTGGCGAGGTCTGTGATGTGAAGTGTGAACATTCTATCTCTATTCCTTGATTAATGCAAGTGACCTATTGTAAAAAAAAATGAAATGCAGCCCAGTGCTATAATGTGTTCTGAATCCGCCGCTGCAACCGTTACCTGATGAGAGGAATTCCTGCGGCAGTTTAAGCAATTTACCAAGCCAATCTAGCACAATCATCTCGAGCTCTGTGGCAGCAGGAGAAGTCATCCAGCTGAAACCCAACATGTTAATACCAGCACTCAGCATTTCTCCCAAGAACCCTGCAACACTACTGTTGGCAGGATAATAAGCATGAAAGTTTGGACTTTGCCAATGAGTCACCCCTGGAATTATCTTGGACCGAACATCTATAACCAAATGAAAACCCCCCCCAAAAACAATAAGTTCCAAAAGGAAACAGTAGGAAATCTGAAAGCATTCCTGTACTACAGATCATATACCGTCAAGGACGCTCTGCAATGATTCAGGTTGATTCGGTGCTGCATCAGGTAGCAATTTCACAAGGTAGCCAGGCTGCAGCCACAAGATGAGCAATCATCCAATGACCCCCAGTTACTCGAAACTACGAAAACTACAGCAGGAAATGATTAAAAAAAAGGAGCCATTGTTAGAGCAGCGAACCTCAACTTGGCTGAGAACTGGGTAATTTTCGATATTCTTGTAGTAGTCAGCGATAAAATCAACCATCTGGTGTCCATACTCTCTCAGCTGCTCTGAGTCCATCGGCTTCAACCCTCCTCCTTTCCCGTCCCTGCCAAGAAACCAAAACCAGAAAGGGGAAAAAATTAGTGAAACCCAGTAAACCCACCTTCCTAAACATGCTAGTGAAGTAACAGAACAGGAGCACTGAGACTTCACATTATTGTTGTGAAAGGTCGACGTATAGAGCCGGCTAAAATGTGAGTGCGGATGATAGTAGAGTGTGTTAGAAATATGCTTAGGGGTGGGCTGCGGATTATGGCCGAGTAGAATTAGGGTTAATTTTCTGATTATTTATTAGTGGGGTAAACATATAAATATTTAATTTCAATGTTCGTCACTCGAACTAATCAAATAGTCCATGTTTATTCACTCTCCACAAATTGTTTGATTAATTTGAGTGACCAAAAATGAATTGTTTGACTAATTAGACTGATCAAACACGAACTGTTTGACTTTCGACTGATCATGAATGGACTTCTTGACTAATTCGAGAGACCAACATTAAAATTATGTATTACCTAGTGATTAAACATGACACTTTTTAATAAACCTAGTGATCAACACATGGACTTTACCCTAAAGCGACGAATAAGGTGTCCCGGGTTTGCAATATATGTTTTCAGTGGTCCATTTCTACCTCGTCAGTGGTAGAAAGGGGAGAAAGAACCTTCATTGACTATGCTGGGCTGCTAGCCTGCATCTTGTTTTCTCTTCACATTTTTTAGGAGAAAAACTATTACTTTGAAGTTAGAGTAGAAAGAAAACTACACAAAAATAGGTATAACAACCCGATTATACCAAACCGAATATAATGTGGTTCGATCTTTGGTCTTGTGAATTTTATAAATTCTGAAAATAGACCAAATTGATATTTGCACCGGACCAAATTAAATCGAATACAACCATGATTAGACTATTGGTCCTAAAATTTCTTTTATTACTATTGGATTGCGATTTCATAGTTTGGTCACAAGTCACAACTGTTACACATCCCTAAGTAGCTTAGTGCGGAGAATGAGTCTTATTTTTGTGTTTTCCCTTGTGACTAGGGCGCAAATGAGTCAAGCTATTAATGAGAAGCTTGTTGTTCGGTCTTGCAAAAAAAAAAATCGTTTGACACTAGACTTGTTTAGTAACGTGTCGAGTTTGAGATAAGTCTTTGTTCGGCTCATAAGGCTTGTGAACCAGCTCAACTGAGTGACTTGTTGAGCGCAACTTGTTAATTAGCTCGTTTTGAGTTGGTTCCACGGTATGAGTAGCAAACTACCTCAACTAGCTACTGATGAGTGAATCGGTTAAGACCTTATCAGACTTGTTGATAATACTTCCAGGTCATTGGTTCGAATCCTATTAATAACTTTGCCGAAATTTGAAATCATGAAGTCTAATTTGAGAAAGTATTTATTATATTTTATTGATGGATGATGATAATTGATGGGTTGATATTTGATGATTTATGGTGATTGATTGAGACAAAAAGGGAAGCTCAGTGGTCGATTAGCAATTTCTGAACGTTGAGTGTCAAATTGGTAGCATATGGAAGTTCGAGGACCATGGCCTGTTCTTCTCTTCTCTGTGACATTTACTCTCCTGTCCCACAAACTCTCCTCTTTCTCCACAAACCCTAACTTCTCAGAAAAATCAATTCTCGCCGACAAACAGTCCTTCTCCCCTCCCTCTCTCGCGCTGCAAATCTCAACCGTTCTCTATGCCCTGAATTTCCCATTTGTTTCACTTCCGCTGGAATCTCTTTTTCCAGGAAGATTCGGGTTGCCGCGGCGGCTGCGACGAGATAAAAAAGCGTATGGTAAGGCTCCGGCCTGGAAGAGTAACTACTCCATCGGGTTTTTCGCTGCCGCGATGGACCCTGCTCCGGTGATATTCGACATCAGCTCCGATGACGAGCCTGAGCCTGGACCCTTCAGCGAACCGGGCGTCGGCGGGGAAGACGATCACAATTGGCTGGAGGAGCTTCTCCAGGCGGTTGACAAAGACACGGATGGTTCCGATGATGTGGTGGTAGTTGGAGAGTATACACCTCCGAAGCTGAAGCTAAAGTCCTGCAGATCGTCTAAACCCGTCAGGGATTTTGAGGATGATGATGATTGCGTGATTTTGGATGGTGATCCGGATAAGCCCGATCAGCCGGCGGCGGGGAAGGTGAAGGATACAGCAGACAGTGATGAGGATGAGCTGCTTGTTGTGGGCGAGACGGGACAGGTCAGTCTGCGTTGTAGTTGGTTCTGTATGTTTTATCATACTGTGTTTATCAGTTCCGCCGTTTGTTTGAAGCTTTAGATTAGGTAATTTTCCCCTAGAGGGAAATGAGAATCTGGATTGTGGACTAGCCCTTGTTGATTAAGGGTCTTCTGGAAACTGAATTATGGTTGAATTGATATTTGGAGTTAGAGGTGCTTTTCTCATCATTCTAAATCGGGCGCTATGATTTAGAAAGGCTCAGTTTCTTTCGCTGGAACTAGTTCTTGTTCATATTCCTTCTTCTGGGAAATGTTGGTTCCCGATGGATGCGTCTGTGATTCCCTCTTGATTGAAAGGAACTTCTTTCCAGGACGTTTCAGTCATTTAGTTTGGATGCTCCATCCAAATACCATTACTAGTATATGGTAAAGGTCTTGGCATGCAATGACATGACAATTTGATTTGGCAATTCTTCAAATTTTTGGGATGGGGATAATTTGCTTTGGTTATAATAATGGATGTTTGTTCTACCTGCCATGGTAGATCTGTATCACTGATCCTATCCCCCTTAAGATTGGGGTGAATTGACCTTGTTTATAGATACGAAGAAAGATTTTCTCGGTCAATCGGTTGTTCTGCAATGTCTTCATATGAAAAGGCTATGTGAATGTGGTTCCATTGTGCTAGTTACATGTTCCAGATCAAGCACTCTCTATCGTTTCTTTTGTGGCAGCAAATCAAGTTACAATCAAGGAAATATGTTATTGGCAGTTGACGATCGATTCTGGAACTCCTATACAAATTGGATCCATAGTGTTGGATCAGGTGTTTCTCAGAGATCCTTTTCGATAGATTTTATGGGTTGTTGTTTGTTTTGACTTTGTGTTCATCTGAGCAGTTTGACGCTGAGAAGTCTGTAGCTTATCCATTCTTTATGAATTGTTTTGTTGGTCATTGATGGTATCTTATTTAATGGAGAAGTCTGTTTTTGTTTGAAGATGTGAGGACATTGTTTCAGATAATAATGGTTGTTGTTTCAGGTTGCTTGCAGAGACTACCCACATTCACGACATCTCTGTCTCAAATTCAGTTTTAGTTCTACCCTGCATTCGGAGCATTGTGAGCTGGTAAGATTGTGTCATAAATATGGGCTCCTTCGATATATTTATGTATACACTTGTTCATGTCATGATATTTATTCTCTGCCTATGTTTGTCCAAATACAGTGTCACTGCTATGTCTGTGATTCTGTAGCTCCATGTGCATATTGGGGTAACGGTCTCTCCAGTAGTGACCATTGTCACGCTACCGATAATCAGCAGATGTGGAAAACTATGAGGGAAAATTTCAGGCGGGCCAAAGATGGTTCATTGTCTGTTTCAAAAGTCCCGACTCTTACGGAAGCTTTCAACCAGGTCAACCAACTTTCACATATTCAAAATACGGTGGGATTGTCATCCAATTCAGTGACTTATAGCCAACTCAGAAAGCCAACCACTGTTCGAGCTTGCACATCTGTTGTACCGAATATCATAAGTCGGAGTAGAGCCCCACGACCAGGTTATGATTATGGGAGAAATGGACTCTTCCCTCGCAGATCTTCTCAGTCAGCACTTGGTATACGTGACAGTATGATACGGCGAGATAGAGGCTCACAAATTGGCAATTTAGGCCAGCAATTTGTCTCCTCTGGTGCAATTATGAAGAATCAGATGTTTGGTGTTGGTCCTCCTTTTCGAACCGATCAATCTATGTATGGTACTTCAGATATAAATTATATTCCCAGTTCAACATATACGAGGAATGCTGCTGGTCCATTTACTGTGCCAAACAACTTTGGGTCTGGTGAGCAGCCGACTGCCCTACCTAACGTGTTCAGTCCGGGCTCCTCACAACCAGACGTCAACCTTGTTGCAGATGCTCTGGCCTCCGTACCTGAGGTTTTCCGGCAGCCTGTTTATCAACCAAGTAATTGCCAGAATGTAAGCCAGCTTCATCAAACTACCAGTTCAGTTGATTCCGGAATTTTAGATTTCAACTTCAATTGGGGTGGTGAAATGGGCATTCGGCAAGGTTCGGTTGAGGATATTCAGTATAACGGCGTGGCCTACAACGAAGATCGATCCAAGGTCGACCAGTGTAGTCCTCAGTTCCCTGTCAGTTCAGGACTTCATTACCCGGATGACAACTACCGGAGCTGGAATTTGGGCCAGTCTGTTCCAGTGACCTCGGCAGGAGGTGTACCCTCGGATCTGAATTTATTTTCTCCTGAACCTGCTGCAATTGATGCAGGTGTGTTGTGTACAGACTTCGACACTTCCTGGAATGGCTTGACACACAATTAGGAATAGCAATTAGCATTAGCTTCTCTTGGCTGAGGTTTGACGCAGTACAACAACTACGTTGTTTTTGTTGAAAAGAAAATCACCAATTGGGTTTGAGCTTTAAATCGCACACTGTAGTTTGGTATTCTAAGATGAGTGCTAATGTACATATACTGCAAGTGCTGAAAGGGCAGATGTGTACCCTATTTATCAGTCATTATTAAATGGAAAGCTCCCTTTGGATGTAGTTTGGAGATTGTTGTGGTTGTCGACTTGTCGTTTCGATATCCTTCTCAGTAGCGAAACTAGGGTTTTATATAAGTGGAAATGTGGAATGAATTCTTATGCTCGTCATGTTCTGGTTCGTCCCAAAACGGTATATTGCTTACACACCAGTACTTCAAAAAATTCTCACCAAACACTAGTTTTATAAGAATTCCAAATCTAGCTCATGTTTCTTCTTGATCACTTATGACGGAAGCGATTAGAGACGGAAGTGATCAGCCTCTGATCGCTAAACATAAATGCGATGCATGTTGATTGCTGAGCTGGCATGTGAGGTAAATATCAAAGTCAAAACTCTATGACAAGGAAAACATCCCCAAATTATAAACTTGATTACAAGGAACAAATCACAAATAGGTATTGGGTAGTGATCGATTTAAGGCTAAGCGATCTGTCTCAAATTATTTTCGCCCTAAGCGATTAAATGTTCATAGCTTTAGTATCAAGCGTTCAACTTGCATTATTGTTAACTATAACGATCAACGCTTACATTGCTATAAGTACAAACAATCTACATTGATCACATTTTGTTTGAACGATCAAAGGCATATCACTTTTAACCTAAACAATAAAGTTGTTGATCGGCTTTAACCGGACCAAGGAAGATTTTGCACGACGCTCCCAAGTCAAACTACATCAACCAAACAATTATGAGTTATGACTAATGAGTACTCCTAGAAAGTAGAAACTATTCGTAGTCCGTGTGTTAGAGAATATTAGGAGAGGAAGTAATTAATCACCTCTAGTTTTTATCTTCTCTCATTGAGTTAGTAGATAGTAACAGTGGGCACATCGTGAAGAGATAACAAAATATGACGGTCCGCCAACAACCAAAATTTGATGTCATAAATTAGTGCACATTTCTCCCCTACCTAATCAAACATTGTGAAGTTAGGAACTGCACATATTCAAAGAGGGGACATCAGTCCTGTTGATTTTGCCATCCAGCGGTGTCCACTCCGTTGAGATTGTGAACATCAAGATTAGCCAGATTCATCCATCCCCAAGGAAAACTCATATGGGTAGCAGTAGCAAAACTAGTCAACCTCCATCCCCGAAAAGGCTTCATCAAGGATCTTCTCGAGTTCTTTCATTCTTTGCCTCGTCAATCGTACACAATCCTGCAACCAGACGGGAATGACATCAAGCTTTAGTGTTCTTCAAAGTTCGTTTGAACTGCAGTGTAGGGAAAATGTCGTTACAAAATCACACTCACTGTAACAAGAGACGTATAGGCAAGAGCTCCACCAGGTTTGTAGAACGAGACAAGTCTGTCGGACGAGTCCATGACCACTGTCACGAGAGTTTCCATGATGGACTCTTCTTCCGAACTGGGGTCTGCCAAGATGTGCTTCTTATGCAGTGCACATGTGAGTGAGAAAGGGATGTTGCCCAGTGTTAGTTTTCTCTTCTCTTTGTTAACTGCTTCTTTCTCCAACTTCCCTACAGTATCACCTTCCTCTGTGAAGGCTACTATTTTCCCTTTGTCGTTCAGGGAAACTACTGGGATTTGCACTGCAAGAGAATACAGAGTGGGTCTACGGATTAGGGAAAGCAGCACCGCATTGGAAGAAGAAACTACAGGAATGGAAACGAGAATTTACAATGGGAGAATGCAGCCACAGCTGAGAGCAATGCTGCATCAAAAAGTGCACCATCGGCATCTAGACAATATATGTCCTGCAATTGAGATGATGCAAGTTTGTCACCCAGTAGACATCAGGTATGGAAATAAAATCAGTGATGCTGTCTTGCGACTCTTAAGAATGTATAAAAGAATAACATTGTTGGCGAACAAAAATTGAGTAAATCATTTCTCCTTACCAAGTAAGCCATCCAAGCAGCTTTTCCACTGACCAAAGCAAGTTCCTTCAGATTAATCATCCCAGAACTGCAAAAGACCAGCCAGATGGTTCTTGCTTATCATCAACAAACCCTAGTAAAGAAAGCAATTGATTGTGTACGGTTTATCCAATTGACAAAAAGCTTTTCCATTGACCCCACCTAGTACAGATTTAGAACTGCTTTGGCAGTTCAAGGTACACACATGGCCACATACCATAGACTCGAATACCTAGCAACAGACAAGATAAAGAGCTCCTTGCATTCTAAAGCATGCAACTTTCAGACAATCAATCAAGCAATTAACATGCTACCACTCATCACAGCACTCTCCCGAAAATGAAACTTCCAGAAATTAGGATGGTTCCTCAGGTGGGCAACAACAAGAAAAACTGAAGCAGGAAGAATATCCCCCCAAGCGACAACTCAGTGTAGCTACACCATATTGCAGCAAGAAAATACGACAGTTGATTCATTGAGAAATACTTAATCGGGCCTGTGCAGGACCTCTATTGGCAGGACCCGCGCTATTTTATTCTCATAAATACTACACTTTTATCAAACACTAAACAACTACTTCCTCCGATACAAGTTGAACATCAAGTGATTCCATTCTTCCGTACCTCAATATGGTATCAGACAGTCGCTTTGACTCAACTACTGCTGCTTCAGCAGGCCTGCCAGGCCTGACAATGGGAGAGCAAATTGGTGGCATGTGAAACTCAATAGCTGCATGTAAGATACATTCAATGGATTACAACTTAACAATTGAAAGACATAGCAAACAGAAGCACAAATGGACACTAGGTTCGACATACCAATACACCCCTCATCAGGTGATTCTGCAGAAGGAGTCATGACTTCCATTTTTATGGCAGCAAGCATTGTCTGTAAACAGACAGACAGACAGACAGGCAGGCAGGCAGAGAAGGAGTTTAGGTTTTCACTTTCATTTTTCGAAACATAAAACAAATGCATCAGCAACAGAAAAAGAAAGCTACGAGAGGAAGATGCCACCTACAGTAGAGCCGATCTTTGTGAGAGCAGATCCATCCGCTGAAGAAACAGCCCCTGATACAAATTGTCCCCGTTTGGATGAGAATAAGATTAAAAGCAACACACTGGACAAAACTGCAACAACAAAAAAATGAAGAACTCACCCAATGCCAATGTGGTATCTCTAGCCATTCCAAGAGTCCTACCGTCAGGTCGTATAGATTCGGCAAGATGGCGCTCATAGTAGCGCAGCGGGAAGAGGCGCCTGAATGCATCCACTTCCATTTCTCCAGACAAATCCCCAGATGAGTCTACCAACCCCATTGTCACTTTCTTTTGTATCTCTTCTCTTGCCTGTCCATTTATTACATTATTAAAAAAACAGGCTTCAGAAGTCATGTTACAACTATACTCATAGAAGAAGCTTCATACCAATGCAGGTCTAACTATAGAGTTCCCATCCACATCACCATCTTAAAAGCTCAACTAAGTTCAGCAAGGGGAAAAAGGTTAATCCGAACCCGATCAACGATGTAAAGTAACTAACTTTTGATGGAGAAAGCACATTTCTAAATGATACTATCAAGGCAAAAGACGTTTAAGAGCTTTCTTAGAAGTGAGCAAAGAGTAAAACTGAGATGAATGAAGGGTACCTAGGGTTCTCGCTCCTGGTCTGGTTTGTGAATCTGGAATAGCTACTACCAAAGAGGCTGGATCGGGGGGAGAGTTGGGTGGCGCGAGGCGACTGATTTCACGGCAGCAGTAAGCGGTCGGCGGGCGGCGAGGGTTTGGACGGCGATTGACGGCGGTTTTGGAGCTGGAGGCAACGGCGGGAAATTCGCTTCTCGTAAGAGTCCAGTGATGGCAATTCTTAGGGATTCTGGATTGAAGAGAGTGGCGTGCGTTTGGGCTTTGATCCAAACCCATGGGCTTTTTTTCTTTTGAGGAAATCCAAACTTTCATGGTCTATAGTTTCTGTCGCTTCCAAAATGTATTGAATAATACTCGGGTAATTGTCCAACTTGGTCACATAAGTTTTGGTCGGTAACAAAATGATCATGAATTTCTACTTCTAATAATAAAAGTCAAGTCATTTGATACTAGCATACTAAAATGCCCACAAGTTTTACCCAAAAAAAAAATGCTCACAAGCCAATCTATAAAAACGTGGTCACAAGGGCGTGCAACAGTCGAATGATCAGATTCCCACGAAAAAAGAAACACTCTTTTTAATTTTTATTCATGACAATCGCAAACGATAACACTTTTTGCTGCAGATTCCGTCTAAAAAGAACAGAAAATGGGAAATGCAAACTTTTCCTTTGAGGTTCAAAGATACAACAACAGAGAAAAAAGCAAACATTAAGAAAATATCGGCAGCCAGAAACTGGGTGAGAACTTTAGTGATGGCAGCTCCACTTATGCAGCAGCAGATATGCACTCAATAGCCTGCTTGCAGATTCCAGTCATGGTTGCCTCTGGCCCATAAACCTGCAACCATAGCAGAATAAAAAAGAGAAACCTCCTTACGATTGATCGAGAATCACATATTGTCTGTGGCTAGTGAAAAACTAAACCGAAAACAAGATAGCAGTGGTCGTCATGCTGAGAGATTTCGGGGTACAGTACCTCAAGGGGGATGCCGATTTCTTCCCCAAGAGCCCTCATTCTGGCAAGCCCCTTCTGGTAGTTAGGACCTCCTCTTCTTACAAATATGTGCATCCTAGCAGCTTTAAGCTTGGATTCCTAAGAACCAAAATAGGCAAGAAATTCTGTTCAAGGTTTCTCTTCTTCCAAGGCAGATAAAGTTTGCATTTTGCATTACTGTTGTCGTACTTCTTCCTGCCCAGGGTTCCTGCCTAGTCAAAACAATTGAGTTTCGGAATAACTCACCTTCTCCTTCAGAGCTCGGATTATGCCATTGAATGTGGCGGCAACATCAGTGAAATTTGCGATCCCTCCTCCAACGACAAGAGCTCTCTTCCGGCCATCAGGATCAGATGTTGCACACTGTAACACATACACAAAGACAAAAATGGAGCATTGTTCATCCAAAAGGACTAATGTGAATATCTATCTTAAGGAATCCATCCATCATAATCAGAGGCAATAGGTGTAGGAAGGTCTCACATCAATCACAACTCTGGCATACTGCAGCACTTCCTCTTCATTAGGAGCCCCACTGTACTCCGCATAGTTTCCAAGCTCGGAAGCATAGCCAAGATCTCCAACCTGTAATTAGAAAAGACATAAATAACACATAATAAGAAGCCATGACAAGACATGATAAAGCAAAATTAGCTTTTGCCAGTTTCAAATGATCCATACCGTGTCAGCATAGATCACACTGGCACCCCCACCAGCCACCATGGTCCAGATCCGGCCCTTTGGATTCAGAACAGTGAATTTCAAAGATGCACTTGTCTGCAATCCAATCACTAGTCAGTAATCAACATTTGGACTGGCAGCAGTGGAACAAGTAAAATCATCATTAGAACTTAAAGCTCGAGAGGGTTTTCTCAGAGAGCTAACACTTTACCTTCTCATCTAGTGTGTGGATGAAGCTCTCTGTGGCACTCATCACTCTCCCAAATGGCAATGGAAACTCAATGTCGCCCCACCTGCCAAAAGATAATAGAAACCGTTTTGAGCTAATGGCAGAAGTGAAAAACGAAGAGGAAATGCGAAAAGGGAGAAAAAGCAAAGGCAATGGGGTTTCTACTTCTTGAAATTCTTGAAAGCAGCAGTGTCATCCAGCTCTCCCCTCATGTCCAAAGGGTAAGGCTTTCCATCAACTAGAGTGAAAGGATTCATCTCAAGGAAAGTAAAGTCCAGATCTAAAACACCAAACAAGAAAACTAATCTCAGGACACCCATAAAGAACGGTAACACCGCATCAGTTCATCAAAGTGACAAATCTGCATACCGTGAAATAGGGCAAAGACCAGTGAAATAAACTTGTCAATTTCGCCTCTAATCTGGGATCAGAAAGAAAAGATTTCACAACATGTCAATAAGTCCCCCCCAAAGTCTCGTATCAAAAACCCAGATAGAACATTCATGACTCATTTTTACCTCCAAAGGCAATGTTGCAATGAGTGGTGCAGAGACTTGGGAAGTTAATGCCTCCCCAGTTGGGACAAAGATCGTCTTGACCTGAACAACAAGATCCAACGAAACCCCCCAAAAGAAACATCAGAAACAAGCTCGTAAATCAAAACCCAAAATCAGATTTGTTCGATCAAGTCTTTGTTTACCTTATCCCAGTTCTCTTCAATGTCAATCCCTCCACATTCCGAGAAGCTAACGCTGCATCCAAGCCTATCTGAGACAATGTTGAGGTAGAACTCCTGCTGGTGAGGAATGAACGGCTCGACAATGAAGGTGGTGATGGGCCCTTTGCATCCCCCCATCTCAACTTCCTTGCCCAGCCGCTCCTTAACAAAGGAAGCAACTTGAGCCAGATCCAGATTCAGGGCCACCAGCCCACTCTTGCCACGCTTCCCAAACAGCATGTCCGGTTTCACCACCAGTTTCTCGGACAACAGCCATGGCTCTTGCTCCGCTAGAGCCATCACATCAGTCGATTCCTTAACCTAAAAAGTCCATAAAACCCAATTCATCGTTACAAATTGTGGGGTGGGGAGAAGAAGAACATCGAAGAAACCAAGTACAGGAAAAAAAAGACGCTTACTTGGGCGGATTTGATGGGCAAATCGTAGCCGGAGAGCCTCTTGAAATGCTCCTTGAGCAGTCTCTTGGAATCGTACTCTCTGATCTTCTTCCGTGCCATTGTTCCTGATGGAATCGTATATTTCAAACAGAGGATTTAAAGCTGCAACAACAACAAACGAATCGAACCCAGAAGAGGAAAACGAACAGAGTTTGGTTACCTGATCGGGATCGGGGGAGAAAGATCAAAGAAGAGAAGAGGTGAATAGAAAGGTAATGAGCAGCGGGAGTTGTTAAAGAGAGCAGGCGCAGTGGAGCGGTAGATGGGAATTTGGTAGCGCACCAAACAACAACGAACACTTGGTTTGGGAGTCTGGTCTGGTTGGAAATATTTATAGCCCCTTCCCCTGTTTTGCTTCTCTAACACTTATGTCAACAACCTCCGCCTCGATGTGGATCTAATCAAATTTTTTAATGGTGGCTTGTTTTCCGAATAAAAAATTTGATGTACTTTTCAAAAAAGAAAATTGTTTTGAGGTAATGAACACATGTTTGTAATAGTTCTTTCTGATTAATAATATTCTCACAGATTGTCATAAAAAAAAAAGTACTGAGTAATGTAGGTAAAATTCTGATTTGAATTTTAACTACGATTTTAGGATCTTGTTTATTGAATTAAAAATTGGTTTTACAATAAGATCTTTGGACATTAAAACTTTCAATTAATTTTTTTTTAAATTCATATATTCTACGATTTTAAAGTCCGGTGACGAAATAAAACAAATAAGACCAATTGAGTTGGATTTCGCTCCAGGTCAATTGGAGTGTCCCCTACCCAAAATTAGCAAAGAAACCAGACCCTTGGTTTCTTTCTCATTTTACTCGTTCCATCTCACAAACCTCATTTTCATTGCATTGCCGCCATTCTAAACCTGTCACGATATGCTCCACTATTACTGGCATCCATCGTCCATCACAAAAAGTTATCTTTGATGACGGTTGTAAGCAACATCATCCAATGGTGCATCGCCATTCTAAACCTGTCACGATATGCTCCACTATTACTGGCATCCATCGTCCATCACAAAAAGTTATCTTTGATGACGGTTGTAAGCAACATCATCCAATGGTGTTTCGATGCCTATGCTTTTTCATCAAAGATTCTATGAATACTGCGATAATGATGAGGACGAGAACAAGGATAGAAATAATTATATTGAGAACTTAGATAGTTATATTCTTCCTAACAATTTGAGGTGATATTGAGAACTTGAATGAGTGATGCGTATTTGGTTTTTATTCTGGGTATACATTATTAATCCTCTCCAATGTTGTAGGTGTAAATTTTTATATGAAATTTAAAATCATACGATTTTGATTTTACTATTTGCGGTTTTTTATTTACCGCAACATTATGCATCAACAAGCCTGGATGGTAGCTAAATTGAAGAAAGAAAACCCACTAAGGGGCCGGTTACTATACACGCAGACACATCCCACTGTACATGCAGACTCATGTGCACTGTTTCAACTCGGATAGGGCTTAGGTGAGGGCGGGTACATGGTGGTCACTCATTGGGTCCTAATGGGATTTTCTTGGTTTAGTTGCCTTTTTACCATGGTTCGTCTTCATTGGGGGATTTGGTTACTTGGATCCTCTCCTTCCCCCTCATGCGAGTTGATCACATGGCAATTATTTGCCGCTTCGAGTTCTGGGACCTGAGAGGCAGAGACTACTATTTTGGGTTTTGCTTTTTGCTTGAGTTGACCGTTGATTGCAGGGTTCTGGACTGAACGCATGAAAGAAGTGAGGCCACGTTGGAGAGAGGGAAGCTGGGGTGAGTCTGCACTCTGCAACTTCCTTCGTTGTAAGCAAAGCCACATTGCCACCTCGGTTCTTGAAGCTCAGAGCAGGAAAAAGCAAAATCTACTTTATCCTGAAGCCATCAATCAAGGCTTATTGCGAAGAGACAGATCAAGTCTCTCCTACTTCCAATTTTTTCCTGCCACCCAGCTCACAATCCCATGCCTCTCTACGGAAGGAAAATGGAAAATGGAAAAGAAGGGGAAAAATCAAGGCTTATTGGGAAGAGACAAATCAACTTCTCTTCTATTTCATCTAATCTTCTATTTTTTTCTCAACCCTAATTTTTCTCCCTCTCTCTCCGTCTTTCTACCCTTCTCTTGAAGATGCTCGCTCGAAAAATTGCCTTTTTCGTCTTTAGGGTTTACAGACACCATTCTGCCGATCTCTCATCCTGCGCTCATCCTCTCTGCCCTAGGTTTGATCCTCGACTGTGGAAGACCTTCAAGACGAAGAAAATGATCTAAAGCTACATATCTAAACCGGGTTTGAGGAATCCCTTTGTTACCGTTCTTCTTGGCTTTGGCGTGTGTACTTCACTTTTTTTCTTCTCTGTTATCTAGAAAACGTGGTTGATTGCGATGGATACTTCCGTAAGAATGGAATCTCTTATGGAATCGTTGGCGCGATAGGGCAGAGGAAGTTGTTCTTTCTCATTGCGCTTTAATATTTCTTGAGGTAAGAGTGACAGGTGACCAACAATCTTTGTTGAGTTCTGATATCTTCTATTTTTCTTGATCTAAATGGACTGATCGTGCTCACAGGTATGATTGTTTGATGGACGATGACGATGAAAGAAGTTAGCTTGGATTTGGCAGAAGATGGCTGGTAACTGAGGTGTCAATTAACCTCCCAGTCATAATACTTTTTCCAGTGTTCATACATCCTTCCATTGACGAAGAAGATTATCTGGAGCTATAGATGTGCTTCGGGTTCCCGAAATTTCTTAATGACCAAGAATCAATTTTGTTAATCATCTCAATTCCCCGTTTTTTAACTTAGAAAAGAGTATCTCATTGTTCTACTCCATTTTGCAGATCTACTAGGGCTGCGACAGAAAAATCGGGTCTCAAACAGTTTACGTGTGGTTTAGCGAGTGAGGGTCAAAGAGAGAACCCCCAGTGAACGAACACCCCAACCAGGAGCCAAAGGCCCTTACTGTGTTAACCAAAGGCCCTTTCCCAATACCACGAGAAGATTTGTTAGATCTACCGTCTTTGCTGCCGACGAGAGTTGAAACGACGGATTGAAAATGGTGATTCGATCGACCACAACAACTCGGGAAGTAAGGATATGCAACTTAATCAATGTGCTCCCTATTTACTCTCGAGGTTATATGATTTGCTATTTATATGCTCAAGTTGTTAATTTTATGTCCGCTTTGAGTTAGGTGTTGAATTCTTTGCCTAAATTGTTTAACTTAAATGTTTTGGCGGTTTTAGCATTTGTTTTGATACTCTGTTGTCTATGGAGGCGGTTTCATCGTTTGTTTGGATTTCAATACTTCAAAGCTGTATTCTCTTTGCCACTATCCAAATCTATTTGTTTAAATCCATGGCCATTCCTCTATGTAGTTACCAGTTGATGTTTTCTGAAGTTCTAAAGCTCTGATTCAAACTGCTTTTCCTATAACCTATGTTCAGCAAGCCGACTCTCAGAACCATGATGGTTGACCCTTGAAATAAATATGTGTTGGTTGCTTTTCGAGTCACCTAATGAGAAATTTCATTCTATATACTGCTAGCTTGGTGCTCACTCTTTTTCCTTTTTAGCTATCTATTCTGATGGGTTCAGCACCCTTGCATTTATAACAGATTGAAGATTTGGCGCTCTGGGTTACTTTCAGTTTGTGCCGGACCTTTGGGGTCTTTAATTCCTTTTAGTTTGCTGTATGCCTGTATCCCTTTAGTTCAAGTTTATTGTCCATTGTAAATCCTGTCATCAGTGAGTTGCTACTCATGACATGGCACATATAATAGTTTGGTTCAGGGAGTGAATGTGCCTCCTCATAAACTTAGTTGTTTCTCATGTAGAGTTTAAACAACTCTTGGTAATTAGGCATGTTGTGGCCTGTATAATGATTTTTCTTTATATAATCAATGGTACACTCCTATAGATGTTTTGCTAGAAAGTTGCTTGGACTAATGCATCATAATTGGAGATACCAAAAGGTCCTCAACTTTTATCTCATGCTTCAAAGAAAATTAGTTGCAAATTATCTAATTTGACTTAAACTTATACTCTTTCTTGAATGTGAATTTTTCTTAATCCTTTACAAAATCATCTCTTGAATATTACCTGTTGGTCCTCAAGTCCCAGCGCGGAGCGCGGGCAAGAGAACTAGTAGGAAAGTAAGGGGGTATGAGCTCAACACTATGTTTGTTTAGAGGGGTAAATGGAGGGGGTGCATTTGTTGGGGGTAAATGGGAGTCTCAATAAAATTGCACCCATTTGGATCTTTATGAACAGTGGGGGAGTAAAAGAGATGTGCAATTTCACTATTTGATCATGCCCCAAATTGGGGCGTAAATGGAGAGAAGGAAGTTTTGGGTGGGACCGGGGAGAGAAAAGGAGTTGGATTGGAGGGAAGGGGAGATCGACTGAGAGGAAATAGGGGAAAAAAATTAAAAAATATTTTTATTTGTAGTATGGTTGGATAAAATGAACTAAAAAATTAGAAACTATTATAATAAATAAGAATTTAATTGTTATTTAAGTTATTTTAACTCTTATGTGGACAAATCAATGTTGAAATCCATGACATGAGCTAGCTACCTGTACTAAGTCACATAATTAGTAATTATTTTTTATATAATAATTATTATGATTATTCATAAAGGATTGGTGTTCATGAGATACGTATTATTTTATCACTAGTAAGATACCATAAGTATAATACAACATTCATATTCCCTTGGAACTATGTATTGCAGTTGGCAGATCACAGAAGGAAGTCAATAGCATACTAGAGTAGAGGGTAGGAACAAAGTAGCTCGAACTTTGTGAGAGGTTATCAATATGCTTGACTGAAAGGAGAGGCACTTCCGACTGACACAGTCGACAGCTTGAGGAATAAATGTGCTTAGGTACCCATCTCCTTCCTCAGGTGGGATAGGCCATTTCCTACCAACAAAGCGGCAAGATAGCGCTCTTCTCCCGAAGTGGATAGCGGGGAAAACAGCGTTACTTCTGGACAACCACAGCTAACTCGTTATGTGAGTGAGCACTCTGTCCTCGGTAATAGAGGGTCGAGTTTATATATATGTTTTATTCGTAGATGTCTCAAAAACCACAGGACTTTATATTTACTCTTTATATATAATAATCTAAAACCCCTTTTTTACATCATTTTGCACCCCTACTTTTTCATCCAAACAACAATTTACCCCTCCACTTACACCCCCAGCAATTTACCCCTCAACTTACACCCCTGCAATTTGCACCCCGTGTTGCCAAACAGAGCGTAAATGGTCGTAACACAACAAACAACGACAAAATTGTGATGCATAAAATATACAAGAGATGTAGAGCTCTTGAACACTAGTTA